CTGAGTTCGTCAGCCATGTCATCAAGCCGAGGTATGGGATGCCGGTACTTAACCGTGATGTTGTTGATGGCGCGGCAATCCACACACATCCTCCAAGTCCCGTCCTTTTTTGGCACAAGTAGTACGGGTACAGCGCAAGGACTGAGACTTTCTCGGATATAACCCTTACTCATTAGCTCTTGGACTTGTTTCTCGAGCTCTGGAGTCTCTTCAGGGTTCATCCGGTACGCGGGCCAGTTAGGCAACGGTGCTCCAGGCACTAGATCGATTTGGTGTTCGATCCCGCGTATAGGAGGTAATCCTGCGGGGATTTCATCCGTTAATACATCGCTATAGTGTTCTAAGAGTCGGCTAACAACAGGACTATGAGTCGGTGTTTCCAAAGATAAGCTCAACTGATCCTTGAATACAAAGAGCAACACCGATTGTTCTTGACGAACAGCGCGCACGACATGACTAGCCTTTATATAGAAATTCTTTTTCTTCGGTTCAGAATCCTTGGCTAGTTTCAATTACATCTCATGCACTTGAGATGAGCTTAGTGGCGCAAGCACAACCTTTCGTTTGTCATACACCAAGGAGTATTGGTTGGCTCGGCCGTCGTGGGTTACTTCCCGATCGAATTGCCATGGTCTGACTAAAAGGATATGACCGGCTTGCATAAGAACGACGTCGCAAAGGACCTCGTCGCGATACTTTCCTATACTGAACGGGATTTTGACCCTTTCGGTCACTTTGAGTTCTCCGCTGTTATTAAGCCACTGCAGCTTGTATGGGCACGGGTGTTTTTCTGTGGATAGATCCAGCTTTTTCACCATATAGGCGCTGGCCACGTTGGTGCATGAACCACTATCGATAATCATTCCACATACCTTCCCATTTACCGTGCAACGGGTGTGAAAGATCGTCTCTCGTTGGGCGGTCTCTTCCGGAGTTACTAGCGTACTAAGTACTCGTCGAGTGACTAGTAATTCTCCACTGTCCGTAATAATCATTACCCTAGCATTTGGACAGTCACGAGCCATATGTCCCCTTCCCCGACATTTATAACATATGATCTCCCGTGATCGTAGATCGCGTGTGGAGTCAGTTTGAGTTCGGGATTGCGAGGTTTCTGGAGCTTTCCCTTTATCCTTGTAACTTGGAAAGCTACGACCTTCGGTCGTTTCCTTTCGGGGTGTGGAGGTAGTCCTAGGGAGGGTAATGGGGTTGCTAGGCGAGGGTTTGGGCTTACTTAGCCGGGCTTGCTTACGCTGGTTTTGTTTTTCGATCTGCACAGCCAAGTGTAAGAGCTCGTGGAGGTTTTGGTATGGGTGGCGCTCGACCTTTCGAGCAATACGCTCGTTGAGGCCATCGAGGAACTGTGCCATCACGGTTTCCTCATCCTCGTCCATCACTAATCTACTCCTAAGGTGCTCAAATTCCTCGAAATACTCTTCTACGGTTCTAGCACCTTGCGAAATCCTTCGATATTTTCGCTGGAGTTTGCGATGGAAATGAGGTGGGATATAGCGTTTCCGCATTAACGCTTTCATTTCACGTCATGTGCCGATTGGCTCTATTTGAGCGCGGCGTCGTTCAGTCAATTCCCAGTCCCACCAAGCTAAGGCGCTTTCAGCTAATTGAGCCGCCGCGTATTGGACTTGCTTACGGTCCGAATACGAATAACACTCGAATATGTTATCCATGCGACGCTCCCAATCGAGATACGCTTCCGGATCTATATGACCTACGAACAATGGTGGTTTAAGCTTAAGGTCTCCCCCTTGACCCCGGTTTGGTCTATAGTTATCATCCTCTACTTGGTTGGCCCATCGTTCGGGTCTAGCTCTACGAGGTGGGTTCCTCCTAGGGATGTAATCGGGATCCGACTCCTCGTCGGACATTATCTCTCGGGGTCTGTGGTGTTGGTGCCTACGGGGCTCTCCTCTATCGGGAAGGTTATCTACCACTCTCTCTCTCGGCCTATGCCTTGGTCGGACATCGCTTTCTTCATCGCTTGGTAGATCGATAGGAGGGGGTTGGTTTTGCCTAGGGTGACCTATTGGTTCTTGCATATGCGGTTCGGGGGCCCGCTCGGCCTCTAGTCTAGACATGCGGTCCATAATAATCTGTAAGGATCTAAAAATATCGCCATTGCTTGGTTCTCGGTTAGAACCTTCTCTAGTAGGCTCGGGGTTACTCATTGTTCGCTCAAGTCTTGCACAATGCAAATATTTCACGCAACGAGCAAAAGACCCTATACTAACGTGCAAATCACTCAACAAGTGTCGTGCTTGCCAATCAAATAAATCAAACAGCGAGTTATGTCAACCGAAAACAATTTGAGGCACGAGATGATGTCTTAAGAAGATGATCAGATTTTCTCAACGCAAGAAACACTCAACGGCCAATATGGACAGATTCACTCAATGTGTTCGTGCTTGTTATGACAACTATGTTCTCAAACTACCTAGATGTCGGGATGGATCAACTTAAATAGAGTGACGGGATAATGAGCATACAATAGAACTCCTAATTCGCACGGTAATAGTTCAAGGAACTAATCAAATTGAATCGCAAGCAAATGCACAAGGATGGTTGAGCAGATTCGTGCGTGCAATCGAGCAGGTGATGTTCGGATTTTAATGAAGGTTCAACCTAGTTGGAATCAAGGATAATCACGGCGCAACACAACACAGCAAAAATGAAACACAATCAATAATAACGAAGTTCAGAAACTCGAATCGGAAGGATCTCACCCGAGGAGAATGCCGATGACGATGTGGAGTGTTATTCCGCTTGTTTGCGATCGATTATATGACTCTAATGGGAGCAGCAAGTTCTGCGAAATGGATGGTGGAATAGATCAGCCCTTACCAAGGAACAATACTTGACAGTTTTTGTATTTTGTTTTGAGTTTTCGAAATTTGAAGCAAAGAAACGAAAAGAAACAAAATGTAAACAAGGATAGATCTCACCCGATTTGTGTGATGTCCGATGGTAGGAGCTAACCAAAATGATATACGCTCAACGCGGAAGAGGATGGGAGGCTGCCAATCTCGATCACCGGCACTCGTGGGAGGCACTCGAATTCGGAATTGGGTATGAGGGTCGAAGTGGGGTGGACGAGATCCGAGTTCAATCACCGGCACTCGAATGAGGCACTCAAATTCGAACTCGAATCAAAGGAGGGGAATGTGAAGTGAATAGGTGAAGGAAAGGTGACAAAGGTCGGACATACCGAACCTAGACCAGCCGCGGACACATCGTCGAGCTCGGATCGCGTTTTGGACACACCAAAGACGAGAAAGAGATAAGCTTAAGAGCAAAATTCATTCAACAACAAGTCTGAAAATTGCAAGAGTGAATATAGAAGGAGAATGGAGTCTTAATTGTGCTTAACATGCACAAGAGGAGCCTAATCATGCATTTAATGTGGTGGTTGGAAGAATATAGTTGTTGGGACTTTGCTTGCAGCTCAAGAAGCTTCCTTTTGCATGTAGGGTTCGGCCATGATGGTGAAGACGTGATGCAGGCCATGTCGGGGCGCGTCGGCCTCGTCTTCGTCCCGTATCCCGCTCAAGACTTGATCAACGACGCCATATAGTAGTTGGCGAAGTGCTCGAGTTTTGGCCCGAGTGTTTGGCGGCTCGGCCCTAATGTATGCTCGTGGGGCACTCTTCGCGTGATGGTCGTTGTCGAGCTTTGCGGGATCAAGTGATCGTGTAACGTCTTGATCACTTGACATGTCCAAGGGCTGGCCTTCGGTTGATTGTTCCGAGGGATCCATGTTCGCTCCTAGCTCCGTGTGCTCCGCATCCAAATGCTCCTGCTCCGGTTCCAGCTCCGGCTCCATGTCCTCATCATTAACACCCTCAAACTGTCGCTGCAGTTCAGGAGACATTGTCCCGAGCATGAGGCAAGAGACCTCCAGGTCGTCGTTCTGATGCTTCAACCAAGCATCACGAACGGCTCTCGCGGCGTTGGCCGGGGGCTCGGCAGGAAGAGCCCCTTCTAGGACGTACATCTTCTTCTCGTTCCTGAGAACAATTCTCAAGGTCCGATACCAGTCCAAGACGTTTATCCCGATCAGCTTATCCTTCTCAAGGATAGATCGCAGTGACACGGTTGGTACACTACCACCTGTCGCCATGTCCTACAGAGATGAACAGAACAACACAATATGCAATATCAATTAGTACAATACTAATTATAGTAAAAACTATTACGGATGACATGATGCAAATATGAGATAAACTCCCACTAAGAAATATAACCCTCTTATAATTTTCTTAGTAGGCTAAGATCCATATTTCACATAGACTTGAGTCAGCTTTGGCATGACGCTCAAGCCTATGCTATTTAGGTAGACATCCAATGTCGATCACATCCAATGTGACTCTTAGATCGTTTATGGAAAAATAGTATCATTATACTATTGCATATTTCTAGTCCCATCTATACCGTTAGGTCCAAGTCCAACTTGATAACCTAACTCAAGCCAAACCATTTTCGAACATATGAGAACCACCATTTCTCCATCTTGTCTCACAAAGATTGTCTGGTATGCTCAGCTTTGGCATGACCTATACACAGACGATCGAAGCCTTGATAAGTGCTCGAAACATGGGTGGTATAAGCTTGAAATTATAACGAGGGTTTTTATCGTTATCAAGAACCAGCTTATTACTTTCGAGAAATGAGAAGCACAATTTCTCAATTCTTGTCTCACTTAGATAATTCGGTATGCACAGCTTTGGCATGTCCCATACACGAATTACCAAGGTCTTGGCAAGAACTCTAATTGTAATAGCTCAATTCTCGATTGATCAAAATATAACAATTATATTTTGATCCGACTCTGTTACTTAGCCCGAATTGACCGTCTATTCAGCTTAGTAAACTAAGTCCCGAAACTCCCACTCAATCAAGTAACTCTTATACTTGATTAAGTTTTATGCACTTAATTCATGTAGACCCTCTACATAATTAAGTCATAAACCATAAACAATCATGATTAACTCAGTCAAGTATCCATTACTTAACCGAATCGAATTCAGAAAACGCGAAAACCCGAAAACAGGTGGTTGGTCCGGGGCTGACCAACCTTTGGTCTGCCGGACCAAATCTACTCAGAATTCAGACTCAGCTCGGACCGAAAGAAGAGACGTGTCGTGGTCAGTTGAGTTGGTCCGGGGCTGACCAACTTTTGGTCAGCTCCGGACCAGGACCACTCTGTCTCTTCTCGTCAGTCAGACCAGACCACGCGCGGACTGAGTTGTTGGTCCAGGGCTGACCACGCGTGGTCGGCCGGACCAACCGTACTCAGTCCGCCACTCCGTTTTCTTCTCCTCGGACCAACAATTGGTCCGTTTAGTTCGAAACGTTCTGGTCCGGGGCTGACCAACACTTGGTCAGTCGGACCAGACGTTACGAAGCAACTCTCGGACCGAAAATTTCTCGTCGGACCAAACATTCTTGTCCGGTCCGCCGGACCAACACTTTGGTCCGCCGGACCAGGACTAGTTTGGTCCGATTTCTTCTTCTCTGGTCCGCCTGGCATGCCTGACCAAAACGTAAAGTCTGGTCCGCCGGACCAAGACTCTCTTTTGTTTTGGTCCGAGTTTCTTCTCTGGTCCGTCGAACTGATCTAAGAAAATCCGAACTTGCGGTCCGTAGCTGACCAGCTTGTGGTCCGCCGGACCGCGTAACTGGGCAGAAAAACAGACGAAATTTTTTCGTCTTGATCTGTTTTCTCGCTCTGTTCGAATCCGTTTTTCGTTTCGTTTTCTCGAGTTAATTCATGATTCCAGCCTCCATATATCTAAGTTTTGTTACATAACTTAATCTACCATAGATTCAATTATATAACAGATTTATCTAAGATCAAAACCAAAGAAAAACCAAGTTTGAACAATTTTCAAACTTGCTCAAGAGTGATCGTTCTTCATCGAAACGAAGAACCGAGCTCTGATACCACTGCTAGGTCGCACGGGATCCTAGACTGCCGGTTCAAAACTGTGCTAGGATCTGGTCCGCGGGCTTGTTGGGATTCCTGGGATCTCATGAGCGAATCCTATTCCTAAGAGATCGATTCTAGGGTTTGCGCAGCGGATGTAAAACAAAAATTTATAGAACCCTAGAACCATGCTGCTGGTCGTTTCCTTTCGGGGTGTGGAGGTAGTCCTAGGGAGGGTAATGGGGTTGCTAGGCGAGGGTTTGGGCTTACTTAGCTGGGCTTGCTTACGTTGGTTTTGCTTTTCAATCTGCACGGCCAAGTGTAAGAGCTCGTGGAGGTTTTGGTATGGGTGGCGCTCGACCTTTCGAGCAATACGCTCGTTGAGGCCATCGAGGAACTGTGCCATCACGGTTTCCTCATCCTCGTCCATCACTAATCTACTCCTAAGGTGCTCAAATTCCTCGAAATACTCTTCTACGGTGCTAGCACCTTGCGAAATCCTTCGATATTTTCGCTGGAGTTCGGATGGAAATGAGGTGGAATATAGCGTTTCCGCATTAACGCTTTCATTTCGCGCCAAGT